TCATGGGTTCTTCCTGAGGAGATAATGCAACAGTTTGCCTATCCTCCAGATTAAGAGGTAAAACAAGGAAGAAGACAAGAAACAAGATTTCCCTCCATTGGAGAACATAGAGGAATGCGGGTGACCAAGGTTGATTTCCGAGTGCTATTTATTAGGTTAATTTAAGAAAAGATGTTGTTTGTATTGGTTTTGTTTGTAAAACTTATATGTTATGTGTTGTACAACTACGTTTTAGCAGGTACAACTATGGTTGATTTCCTTCTCGTATCTGTGCAAATTTTGTCAGTCTTGGTGCAACTAAGTACCACAGGTACAACTAAGGTCTAATGCCTTGGCAAATTTTCAGAATTTTATATAATATGTAAAATTTAAAACTAAATTAAAAAAAACTTAAAAAATACATACACAATGGTAATGAAACTACACAACAAGTTGTTGACAAAAAATTTCATATTTTTAAAAAAATACTTAAATTCTTACTCAAAATCCCACATTCATACACTAACAAACCTTATACTTTCATGGTTACTTTGTAGATTTGAACTAAAATTTTATAAATTTTTGAAATACTTGTATTTTGATAAATATAAATGTACAGATACAAAGTAATAGTATTTTTATGAGGCAATACCATCGGTTCCACCAACAAATATTAAATTAGAGTTGATAACAACTAGATTTACTAAAATCTCTATATTGTACAACTATGAGCAAAAATGTGCAACCGAGTACAACTGCACAACTATGAACAAATTTGAGCTATTTTTTAATAATTTTTTTCCAAAATAACGGCGCCAGGTATGCCATTTGTCAGAACTTTTTAGATATTTAGATATTTTCAGATATTTTTAGATATTTCACTGTTTTTTTTATTTTCAAAAACCCTTACAAATCTACACATTTGTCAGAATTTTTAATTAGTTTAGAATTTTTTTTTTTTTTTTGTTCAAAACCCTTAGATTATATTCAATACATAGATTCATACATAAAAATATTAAGATTCAGATTAAAAGATTCATACATAATTAGATTCAGATTCAAAGATTCATACATAATCAAAAAACATAAACCCAGAAACATAGTTGTACCTAATCGTACCAGTTGTACCTAAACACTTAGATTTATACATCAACATCAGATACCAGAATACAAGCGAAACTCATCATCAGAGACAAAAATAGGAGTCGAACTCTTCTCTTGCTCGACATACCCTGCAACTTGTTCGTCTTTTCGGACTTCTAAGCTCGCAAGATGGTTCACTTCTAGAACTAGATGCTCCTCCTCTGGTAATAGCCATTGTAATTACTACCTGCAACAACAAATACAAGTTCAGTATCAAACATTCAAAAACAATCTCAAATTCTACATAAATAACACAGATGGTTTTTGGTCACTATGAAACTGTCGTTGTCTAATCAAAGCAGATAAACAAGCAATCCAAACACATACTCACACAATCTCATTATCTATCTACATAATTATAAGAGATAAAGTTTGTTTTCAACAAATTTCAAAAATTCCGAAACACACGCTTTGTATATATCTAAGGGAAAAATTCAAATCCGAAATATGTAGAGAAATTCAAGATCGAACATTTGGACAATTCAAAGGAAAATTACCCAAAATTCAAATCCGAAAACAAGACAAATTGAAATCTGAAAATCAATCGACATATCAAAATCCTCAAAACCCAACACAATCCATCCATAAATCAATACCCAACACAATCAATCGAAACCTATTAAACCCTCAAAAAGAAATCAAGCCAAAATTAAAATACTAATCAAACCAAAAACCATCTCTACGAAACAAATTCATCAAATCTGAATTGTGACATAAAAACTACTCACAATGGCTATTAACAGAGGCAATTTCAAATCCGAATTGTATTTCAAATCCATCCCCAAATTGTAAACATAAAATCTGAATTATATCCATAAAAAACCGAATTCAATACAAAACACATCCATAATTCATCTGTTTCAAACAAAATCAAACTTTTATTAAGCCCAGAACCTTTATGAATCGAACCCTATTAAACCCTCAAAAAGAAATCAAACCCTAATCAAACCAAAATTAACAAATCAATCGAAATATACAGATCAAACAAAAGAAATCTTACAAAGAGCAAACACAGCGGAGAAGACACGGCGGATTCCTCAGATTCACGGTCGATTACTCGGATTCACAGCAGATATCTCGGATTCAAGGAGTATCCAGAGAAACGAATGAAGACGAAAGAAGAAGAAGATGAAAGGGTATCGACTGAAACAAGATAAGAGAGAAGAAGAAGAGGATCTAGAAGAAGAAAAGGAAATCGGAAAATCTTCCGTCTGCGGTTGAGAGAAAAGGAAGACGAAGGAGAGTTAGGGTTTGATGTTTTGATAGAATTAGAGTTGGTCGTTTGGAAAAAAGGAGTGGATCCAAAACGGGCCCCAAAGCTATTGGATATTTGATCCAAAACTTAGGTCGGGTCAGTAAATAAGTTGAAACCCACAAATATTATTGTCTTTTACTAACTTTTTGAATAAAAATAAACACTTAAATTATTTATTTTTAGAACAGGGGCTAAGTAGAGAATGATTCGAGTACAGGGGCCAACGACATTAAAATCCTGACATCCACTGAGAATTTCTTTTCTCACTTTGGGATTTTTCTTTGGCGGTTTTGAATTTTGTTTGATTGCAATGCGAAGAACCCAACATGGGCTTCCTCAGTTACTTATGGAATCGATTGCTTTCTCGGAGTGTTGCCGTCTGACATTAGCGTCGTCAGGTGATCGATTTTCATCTTCAAATTAGTGTGAGACCCGAACTCAACTGAAATCAATTCTCGATTGGAGACGATGGGAAGATCATTCTTCATTCAATCTCGAATTCACGGGCTTGCTTCAATGTTGAGTCATACATGGATCATCAACAGGTATTAGAAAAAAAAAAAAAAAAAAAGAGAAATAGATGATTGATTTAGCTTTTTTCTCGAAGAATAAGAAGAAAAAGAAGAAGGAGAATAGAGAATTTTGATTTCTCAAGAGTGAAGAAGAAGAGAATGCGTGAGAGTATATAGGATTTTGATTTCTTAAGAAAGAAGAAGAGAATGAGAGTATTTATAAGCAAACGTTCTGATTTTGAAAAACCACAAAGAAAAAAGGAAATCTTTATAGGAAAAGGAAATTTCCTTATTTTTTTTTTAAAGGTTGATCACAAGTTTTGGTTGTTTCCTTTTTTTCTCTGAGATCACAAAAATAAAGCAGGAGCCATGAATGCTTGGTTAGAACCACCGCAACGCTATCATATCCTCAATCTTGAGAGCTTCTTTTATTGAATTGTCTAAAGAAGAAATATTTCTCAACATAACGAAATTGGAATTACTGTGTTTTAGCTTTAGCCTGGTCATTTGCAGACATATATACAAAAGTTGCCCCAATATCTCATATTAGCTGAGAAGAAGAAGCCAAATACAAAACAAAAAAAGCACACTAAAGATTGCAAAGCTAAATAAGTTTCTGTTATAAATTCAACAAAAGGAATCAGAGAAAAACTTAAAGAGAGCTTCATGCTTTAGTAGATGCATCTGAATTCACGGCTCGCACGAACTGGCCTTTCACTCGTGGACGTTGTTCTGCTAGCTTCTTCCTGCTCTGGTATCGAACCTGTAATCCATTTTTATACATCTCCATTGAATCAGTTCGATCCTGTAATTGATTCAGATGCTGTTTTATGATGAAGCTTGTGTGTCTCTTACCTTTTTATCAAAGCAACGGTCTTTCCTCTTCAACCGGAACTTCATCAATGCAGCTTCTCTCTGGCTTCTACTCCAACGTTGTTTCACACTTTCTTCTTCCTTTGGTTTCTCTGTGCTACTGCTTTGTCCACCAATCCCCTCATTGGTGTTGCAGGTGCTTTGAGAACCAACCTCTACTTCCTTGCTATCTGCTTTCACACGATTTGATTCTACCGGTATGGGGGAATCTTGCAGATGTTGCTTCTGAACTTGGTTACGGAAGCTTAACTCGTTCTGTCCACATTGTCCGCTTACGCTTGATGATCCGATATTCTCCTGGTTGCTGCTCGTTGTGGCGCTTCCTTGATCAGATCTTACTTTTCTTAACTTTTCATGTGATTCGGTTGGTGTCTTTGGCTCACCTGAGGTACTCTCGTCTAAAGCAACGACAGCTTTCTCTGCTGGCTTGCTATTCTCAAATCTGAAAGTTAAGTAGAGTTATTGATTAAAACACTGATCAAAATATTTGAGATGAGACATTCTTTTTTTCAAACAAGGAACACAGACCTTAAGAAGGCTGATGCATCAGAGAGGCTAAGCTTCTGATGCTTGCTTTCATCTTGGTTCTCAAAACTCACAGAGCAAGATCTTTTCAGAGAAAGTCCAAGCTCAGGACCAACACACTCATCTCGACTGTTGTCTCCATAGATACTATCAGGACGCTTGTCAATTCCACCAATCAAATCCATTGTCACATCAAAAGATTCCTTGAACTCGTCTCTTTCATCCACTGATTTGGCATTCTCCATAAGCTTATTGTGACCATTGTAGCTGATGGCCTGCATAATTTGCATGTACACAATATCAGCTTCTATTGAAATGAGATAAACAAGAGATCTGGAAAAGTAACAATACAATGCAATCTAAAGATGAAAATCACACAACTCATACAAAACACAATCCAGAACATATAGATTGTGTCATGTAACAACTCAATGGTAACATTCATTATACCTGAGCACCACTTCCTTGATCTGAATGATATCTGGAATCTTCACAAGTTTCATCAGTATCTTCAAGGTTGTGCTGTGAACCTGGTAAGCTTTGAGCATGAGCAGTAGGATCATCACGCAACTGATTCATAACCAAAAAACACAATTATTAAGTCTTTCAAACTTCAGCACAAGGAAACAAAACTCAGAACACCAAAAAAGGAAAATAACTTACAGTAAGTCGTCTCCACACATGTTGCCATAGATTCTTCAACTCGTTTTTCCTCATTGGTTTAATAAGATAATCAGCAGCACCTCTGAGCATACACTTCAACACCATTTTTATCGAATCTTGCGAAGACATCACTATTCATTTCAAACAACAACAAAGAAGCATGAGAACAAAAAACTAATAAAGAGGCGTTTTCAGAGGTATAAAGGACTTTGGGGATCACCATCGTACTTATGACAGGAATGTTCTTGCAAGCTTCATGCTCCATAACCAAAGCAAGCAGAGCAAAACCAGATATAGATGGCAAATCTAGCTCAGTTAGTATAAGATCAATGTTATGTGACTTCTCCTTTAGAACCTCCCACGCAGCTAAACCATCAGAGACAGCTACAACTGTATTCAGTCAAAACCAAACATCATCAAAATCAAGACTTAAAAAAAGCAAACTTCTATTTTTGTGTGAATAAAAATGCAAACTTTAACATAAGCAAATGATTAAAAAGATCAATCGACCTTTGTAACAGCATTTACGAAGAAGGGCAGTGATGATTTGACGAGTTGAGTAATCAGATTCAACTAACAAAACCCTAAGCACAGTTTTAGGCAAATACTTCTCCCACTGAACAACTTCCGATGACTTTACTCTGTTCTTTATCGTCTCCATACCATCATCACTACTTAAAACCACAATCTCCCCCATAGATTCAGAGCTCAAAACAAACAAAATCACAGAGAAAAGCAGAATCCAGTAAACAGCAACAAAGACAAAGTAAAACACAGCAAACGAAACAGGACTCCTTTAGATCTTAATCGTTTCAGATTGAAGGAGAGAGAGAAAATATGAGATGTTGAAGTAAAGAAGAAGGAAGAAGAAAAAGAAACTCTTTAGTTTTGGTATCTTTCGATCACAACCACGAAAATATCTTCTCAGAGAAAGAAGAAGACTTTGTTGTGTATAAGCTCTCAGGAGCAAATAAACAATTTGAGAAATCTAATTAACGGTGAGTAATAAAGCGGGCCTTCACTCAGCTGACGTGGCTTAATATGAGCCATTGTTTTGATTTTCTCTGTATCGCGGCTGATTCGGTGGAGGTGGTCCTCTGCTTCGCAGGTCCACACTAACACGTGTCATTAACCTAATCGGTCTACGGAAGTGGAGATATTCGTCTGAATATCATCTAGTGGTCATGTGGATGACACGTGGGTTTCCTTTCTAATTGTGTGGCTAACTTTGATTTTGGGATTTTTAGTTTGATTTAATAAATTTTAAAAGTCAGATTTTTTTTTTTTTCAGCTGCTCTATCTATCATTCAAATTGGATGGCCTTTTTTTTTTCTTTTTCAAAAAAGTAAATTATATTCAATGTTATTAATTTTTCAATTCGGTTAGATTGATTTCAATATTAAATGCCACTAGCATTAATTAATTAAATCCCTACAAAAAAAAAAACATTAATTAATTAAATCAAATTTGGTAGTGGCCGCGTAAATTTCGACTCCAAATCAAAAAAAAAATGTTTATTTATTGAATATAACAATTTTCTGTGGATATGTAAAGGAATGCTAGAACCATCTATAAAACTTTGCTTTGCGTGGAAAGAATATCTATCGATCTATGGTATGATATGGACAGTACCTAATAAACAACTTACCATATTCTTGCGTGTTTACATATCCAAGGCTTTTTATGGCCAACTTATGTCTACAGCTAAAAAGTTAATGGGCTTTGTAAGAATTTAGGCCTTAGTTTTTCAAAAGCCCATCACTTTTGTATCCTTCTTGTTCTAAATTATGATTTCACACAAAAAAAATTTTTGGTTTACAACTCTAATCATATGTTTATTGGTTGTTTTTACTGAACCATCTAATTTCACATGATCATTTTCGCAATTCTGCATAGAAGAGTTTCGAATTTCTTTTTTTGTCCAATTTCTCTTTATAATGCAGACAAAGACGACTTTCATGTGTCACTCCAAGCTACAACTCTCACAAAAGTTAAAAAAGAAATATGATAAAACTGTTTTGGTTATTAAAAAAACAACAGTTGGGTTTATTTTAGAATTTTTTAAATAAGAGTAATAGTGAAATATAGTATTATCCATTGAGGGAGAAAAAAAGATCCGTTTTATTCCAACGGTCTTTTGACCGGTACTTTTGTCTTCATAAGATCCCCTTTGGAATCCAAAGACAATAATCATTTTACTCTCACAACCGTTAAAAGAAAATGATCATACGAATTCAAAATAATCATAAAAAAGGTTAAGTCTCTTTTGATTAAAAATACGAGAAAATTCTAGGCGAAAGTGACCGATGAACAGATTCTAGGTTTCCTAAGAACGAGCCAATATTAAACATCTTATAATCATAATAAGAAGAAGAAGAAGAAATGTGATTGAATTATAACAATTTCAAGAATTACAAATGTAAAAGAAAGGATTTTAAGCTTATCCGAAGCTTAAAAGGTTCAAAAGAAGACATAAAACATTTCTTTTGAACCTGAAAAATAAAAATCCCCAAATGAATGTAATAATCTGATGATGCTTTCTGCATCAATCCAAGTTTTCTTAAGAATCTAAAAAAAAGCCACCAATGCTTTCTCTTGATTCTTTTACCTAAAAATGCAATGTGAATCTTGAAACAACAACAAAAAAAACAAAGAATGTGATGATGGTTTCTTCTTCTTCTTCTTCTTCTTCTTCTTCCTCCTAAGTACTAATTAAGATTCTAGAATCCTAAAAACGATGGATAAATGAATGTTTCTAGAACGTTGATGGAGAGATCGATGATGAGTTAGTGTACAATGAAGTTTGTCCCTTGCTCTGGCTATTGTAGTAGTACTGAATCAACCCTCTATCTTGGTGGTTGATGTTGTAATTGCTTCATCACCATCTTTGGTGCTAGTTTCACCTGTTGCTGCATTCTTTGTTGCTGTAGTAATAACTACTGTTTTTGTTGCAGCTAATAAACAACAAAACAAACAATCAAGCATGATTCAAAACAATGTGTCAAATGGTTTTCAATTTCAGATAGAGTGAGTTGTGAAATCAAACCTGAGGTGGATGTTGATGAGGATGGTGATGAAGTTGATGGTAGTGATAGAGCTAAAGAGGTTGGGAGGGAGAGGATTGGAGGCGGAGGCTGCTGAGAGCTGAATTGCTGCTGAGAACTGAAGTGTTGCTGATGAGGCAAGTAAGGATATTGAAGTAGAGGAGCAGCAGGAGGAGCAGTGTATTGAAAGCTGAAACCTTGGTGATGTTGAGCTTGAACTTGAGCTTGTGCCTGATTGCTACTTTGTGCTGCATTGTATTGAGCATAGAAAGGATAAAAACCATGGAACATTCCTGTTGATCCTGATGATGGGTGTCCCATATACGGTGAAAATTGTTGTCCTCCATAGAGATGATGATTGTAGTAGTTCTGCAAACAAACAAAAAACACATACATAAGAACTTCAAAGATTTATCAGTGAAATGGAAACGATTCTACATTGTAATGAAATTTACTAACCATTGGGTACATTCCCTCTTGAGAATAACCAGAAAACCTGCAGAAGAAGAAACACAAAACAATTTAGGCTTTGCTTAGACACACTAACCAGAATCGACTGTGATGATAATGCTTACCCGTAAGTAGAGTAAGGAAATGGGAATTGACCAGTGTGTTGTTGTTGAGGAACAAAAGCAGAGGAAGAAGAAGAGCCTCGAAACTGAGGAGAAGGAGCAACTAATCCAACTCCTGATCCTGGTGATCTGAATCTACCTGTTCCTCCTGCAAATAAAGTTTCCTCGAAGAATCATAAAACAAAGACTTTTTTTTTACTCCTTCACGTGTTAATCAAGTAAGAGGATGAGATTTTTTCAATCACCCTAAAGCTAGTTCCCATTGCATTCTAGAGAAGAGAAAAAAGGAGAGAGTTTCCATTCAAACCATGTCTAGGAGAAGTAGGAGGACGAGGTTTTTGAGCACCAAGACAAGCGAGATTGCAATTAGCCCTTCTTCCATCAATCACAGGATTCATATTCTGACAAGCTCTCATCGCTGCTTCGGCTTCCTTAAACGTCACCTGATCAATCAATCAAAAACCGATTTTTTCAGAGAAAAAGATAAAACTTTATCATCTGAGAAACGAAAAAGAGAGAAAGAGAAGGAACATACAAATCCATATCCTTTGGATCTTCCAGTGTTCTTATCAGTAATAACGACAGCTTCAACGATATCACCAAACTGTTCAAAGTAACGTCTCATTGTATCTCTCTGCGTCTCCCAAGCTAATCCTCCCACGAAGATTTTCGTCAACTTGGTATCGTTCGTATTATTATTATTATTACCTTCCATCTGAAATTGTCTCTGTTGAGCCATCTCTGATTGATTGCTTTTTCCCCAATTCACAAACCCTAATTCACATCAAAAGTTTCAATCTTTCTCTCTCTCTATATAGCTTTCTTAACTCAAACCAAAAAAAAAACAAAATTTTTATCCGAAACAAAGGAAAAACTGTAACTTTTCCCCTCCCAACAAAGAAAAAAAAAACGATTCACAGAAAACGAAAAAGAGTGAATTTTTGTGTACCTAAAGAGTGAAACAATAGAGGAAGAGGCAAAAACCTCTGTTTTTGTTGAATGAAGAGAAAGAAAATGGAGGAAGACAAGAAAGCTGCTAGTGGGAGCCCACGACAATGGCTATAGAGAGAGAGAGAGAGAGAGAGAGAGAGGAGAGAAGCAATTGAAAATATGAGGAAAAGCCAGAGACACAATTCTACCTTTTTCGCTGTATTTATATGCGTGTGTGTATATATCTTTGTGTTGGGTCCGCTGCATAAACATTTGCTTCGCTGTCTTCAACCTCCTCTCTTGAAATCTGCAAATTCTTGATAAATAAATTTGTACTATTAAAAATTCCAACCTTTGACCATTCGTCTCCAAGAATTAAAAAAATAAAAAATAACAGTGAGAAAAAAGTTTTTTTTTTTTTCTGATAGAAGAGAATGATGATCTGGTGATTTTTTTCTTCCTAATTTTATATAGAAAAAGTTATTTTGTGTGCAATACATAACCCAAAAAAAAGAAATTCCACATATGAATGATGTTTTTGTGGGTCTTGACTTTCTGGCACAATCTTCTAAATTCTCTCTTTCCTTTTTTTCGAATTTTTTGGATGCTTTGTATTTTTGAATTTTAAGTATAAACACTTTATTATATATAAAAAAAATGAGATAACTATATAATTGTAGGGCAGACCTGATTTTTAACACAGAAGACAGGTTGTCTTCCTCAAAACATTTGCAGAAATTGCCCTTCTCAGATATTTTTAAAATAATTATTTTTCATTTTAGCTTGTCTTTTAATAAAGTCTGTTAGTACAACTTTTTTTTTATTCGATCAGAGCCGTCAAATGTATATCATCTGTCACTATTTACTACTGTTAAGTACTAACGGTAATTGTGGAAATATATGCATTTTTTTTTGTTTCCATATTACAGACTATGATATTTTATTTCCATATTCAGAACTTGTTGAAAACTCTCAACGAATGAAAATTTCAATGAATTCTTTAATTAATGAAAATATTATTACAAAAAGTCTCAACGAATGATCGATGTGTCTACCAATCATTAGCCGGTTTTTTAGTAGACATTAGCCGTTTTCTCGACTTCAAGCATTCTGAAAAAGATTTTGCTAAAACTAGAGGCAAAAATCTATAAAAACGCACCATTGTGTAATGACAATACAACCAAAACTTCATCAAATATCTAGTTTCCAACTATGTGAGAAATGCAAAAATATATATATATATATATACGTATAGAAATTTTAAGTAATGTGATTTGTGAACAATTGTATCAACACATGCGTTGTCAGATCACGATACAAAAGTCAATTTAACATTCGAAAATTTGGTAGCCCAAAACTTTATTTCTTTTCCTTAACAACATCAATCAGTGATTAATATCACCTTCGAAATATTTTGGCAATAATCACTATTTCCAAATCCTGGATTGCGCTTTTAAAGCCGTTCCACATCTCTTTGATTTGTGGCACGTCTACTACGTTGGTTTTGGAATATAAATATTTATTTTCTAAATGTAATGTATTAATTTCATATATATAAAAAGTGTAGATATGAGATATTTGATGATGGATAGTGTCGCACTGATAAATCCACATGAAGGCTGCAAGATACAGGCAGGCATGCACATGTTTATGCTCAGCCACTTTCCCAATATTATTATATAAATAAAAAAATTATAATTAAAATTTTTATAGTTTTCTCAACTTGCACGAAACCACCGTTAGATGGATCGAACTTTTTCATCAACGGTGTGGATCATAAGACTTTATCACGCGTACGTGGTCCCGCGTGCATGGGATCATTGATCTCAGTGATGTTTTTATTACAGTACAAAATTGACGCGTGACGTGTCCAGCGATTTGGTTTCCTTAAAGTCTGAAAATCCGTTATAAACGCTGTTGATTGGTCGTGGCGTATGAACGTGACAGCGAATGATACGGATTCCGTTATTTTGACCGTCAACGTTTCTGATGCCACGTGGTGGAATCTTCGTTGGCAGATGGGACTTTAATAAAAAGGGTAAATCATTTTTTTCGAAGAGGAAAAAATAATATAATACAAGAATTGTTTACTTCGAGCGTGTCCTCGAAAAGAAGCAAGACTCTTTGTGGGCTTAAAGTCCATTTATGAAGCTCACTAAATCTACGTATACATGTGGCACACTAGGCCCATTCGTTAAAGACCCGTTATAAAATTTCATTTGTACAATATGTTTTTGCTGTTTACGAAGTTTTTATTAGGGTTTCATTGGGTTCAGATTTAGGAAACCTGTTTAACTGAGTAAAAAGTAATGAATAATTAAGTGTAGCTAGTTTTTTTTTTTTTGTATGAATAAGTGTAGCTAGTTAAATGAGATTGAATGGTAAAATAATATGATATTCTAATAAGACTTATGATAAAAATACAAAACTAAATTGACATCTCCTTTTATTTGAGGGCAACTAAATTGACATCATAGATTGTAGAAAAGTATATCCCACTATATAGACTTGGAATTTGTTTGTATGTATCTATATCATATATATGTATCCACAATGGAGGTTACGGAGTGTCACATTTTTTGGCTTGATTCAGAATTTTTTGAACTGCGAAATTTCATATCGTTGAAATGTACATGGTCTACGTAGACCAGCAACGTAAAGCAAACTTTTTGTAATTATGAAAATGTCTTCCGTAACTTCAAATCTATATTATGTATTGAAATCAGTTTCTTTTTAACTAGTTAAGCTTATTAGATATATATTTGGAAAATTTATTTATTTCTTATGACCTGCTTAAATAGAGTAACTGACCCTTTTTACATAAATATAGTAGTTCGTACAATTACTTTTAGTTGTTTGATATAGATATACAATGAAACATTGGTTCTGATAGCTTCATATGTTTTTACTTTTTACATAATTAGTACAACGAAAGAGAGCTTCTAATTTTGATACTAAAGCATTTAGATATCTAACATGTGCCTAACTCTATAAGCTGAACGATATCGACTTCCATGAAATGTACATTCTGATTCCATCATTAACGATTCACGCCTTAACCAAAATTAGCAGACCGCTATGCTCTAGTTTAGGACACCTAGTTATACAAAAGATTGCTATTATTTGCCAGCTTATAGGGACACAATCATCACGAAGGGACAAATCTTATGTAACCATCGATTGGTTGATCATGTAAATAAAAAGATATGTGTCATATATATACATTATACTATATATCCTTTTAAATATCAATATTTTGAACGCATGGTTTGCATGATGTACGTATACATGTATTCAAAAGACAGAAAATCAACAATATGCAATATGCATGGTTCAAACTTCAAACTAAAGTAAATAATCGTATTAATTAAATTATTTATTAAAGAAGATACGCACCTGATCCTCTCATGCATGCAATTAATTAGATACGTGTTCGTCAGGAGATACCAACGACTAGAAGAACACATATATAAGACGAAAAAGATTTCATTAAAAATCTAACAAAAGATTCGGAATCGGCGCGCCAATCGGTAATCCAAATTAAACAGCATCACCAACTAGCAAACTTTGAAAGGTAATGGGATTTTCTTATTTATAAAACAGTTATAAATTAAAGGATAAACTAATAAAAAAAACAGCAAAATGTCTACATTAACCTGATCAACTAGCTAGAGTGGAATGCTGGTCAATATAATTTCTCCGAAATAGTTTGTGTTAGAAATGCTTTAAGGACAAGTCGAGAACGATTTAACTTAGCGCCTTTGGTTTGGACTTTGGAATAAAGACAGCGTCTCAAGACTCAAGATCAGGCCCGGCGCGCAAGGCTACCCAAGCCATTGTTTGGGGTCCCACAAATTTTTTTTTTTTTTGGTTTTTTTTTTTTTTTTGTATTTTTTGGTTATTGAGGTCTATTTTAAAAATTTACTTAGTTAAATTATTGATATTGAGGCCTATTTTTTTGGATATTTTTTTAAAACAATAATAAAAATTAACATATATATAAAAAAAATCATATGTTAAATATTGTTAATAAATATCAGGACCTCATTTTATATTTTGTGTAGGGTCTCACAAATGCTCGGACCGACACTGCTCAATATGTCAAACTTTTGCGGCGGCGTACGCTATTCTCTAAATTTTCTCCCAATAGAGACAAACTACTGCGATGAACATGAATGTTAATTCGAGCTTAATTTTCTTAAGAAAAATTTTTGTTTTAAAATTTGGAAAGTATTAATATTACGTTAAATCGACGTTGACTAAACACTCTAATATAAAAAAAAAAATGTTAAACAAATTACAAAACCATCAAAAAGAAATATTATAAGATACACGTGGATATCGTGAAAGGGTCCAAAATCTAGGGAACTACAGAATTGCCCCTCGGCCATTAAAGAAAACGGAGTCCGTGGAGTCATGACGTCTCACCCATTAAGGCTTAACAAATTTTGACGAAAATTCACCAAACTAAGATTGCTTCCCATGCAAACTTTCTTCATCTTCTAGAGAGTTTCCATATTTAAGTTTTTATTATTTGAGCACAATATTTCGATCAGTTTCCTTCATTATGTATTATCCATCACCAAATTTATCTTTTACCAGAAAAAAATAATTTCTCTGTATATAGTATATTCAGTAATATTAAAAATATGATTAAACATTTTAATTGTGTGTGTAAATTGTCAGAAATTTAATGACAAATTTACAGTAATTTATCATCTACGAGAAATATCCCTAACATATTAAGGTTAGAATATGGTTTAATATAGTAGAAAATAATATCAAGTGAATTGTGGATGTTGGATTCACACACTCAAGTATTTTATTAAGTGGGAAAGATTATTCTTGAGAGACAAAAATGAATGTATAAAAACTTGAGAATTGCTACGAAAATTGTTATCTATTTCTCTCTTGAGAGGAAGTCCCCCTTTTACATGGCCATTGGTCTTTATATTTATACATAGAGAATTGTCATTAAAATGAATAATTAAGTACAATTATTCCCTCTTAAATGTGTCCGTTTTGATTCTTCGATTTTAATGCTCAACGTTTGAATTTGAGTTGACTCTGATCTTCGCGGGCCTCGCCTTTCTGGCCCAAATATCCTTGAACCATCTTACCCATGCCTTCTTCATCGAACTCATGTCGCAATGTAATCACTTCGGATGGTCGAAGTGGTGACAACCACTTCGAC